CTATAAAGCTGCAAATTTGTCTAATATAGTAGTGTTCCTTAATTGTGTTGCGCAACTGGCTACAGTGATGCCAGAATAGTAAAAGTAGTGTTCGCTTAAGATTTTTGTTATATAATTAAGCCGTGTAGAAATCTGTACTCTGCAGCCACTTGAATTGTGCAGTCACTTCAGGGGAAAATATGCCACAAGTAACCATCATGTGACCCGATAACGTCAATGGTAAAAAACAAATGTGTACGGTAACTGTATCGAGTATCCTGACGGGCTTGGTAAGTGAGGTCACGGATTCAGTCACTAACAACACGTGAAAAATCACGCGAATGGTAACACATGAAACTCCCGCCAGAAATTCCTGAAACCAGGCCGATTTCCCGCTCGCGCCAACTCATGCGGAGAGGTTTGATGCACGCCTGTACCGTCGAGCCTGCAGCCCACAGTAACCACACCACGATCCGACGTGCTGTACACCCCCCCCTGCTCGCTACGGTTCCAACCAACATTCCCTCTCCTAACTTACTTCCTGCCAGACTTGCTCTCTAGCCCGCGCCATCAGCTATACCTCACGTTATTAGCTATAACTTTCGCCAGCTGGCTTCCCAGTCACATATCCAAGGCATTCATTAGCAGCACCTGACGTCTATCAACGGTGCGTGTCTTAGCCCAAAAGCCCTTTCCCATCCGTTCACGTTCAGTCCCTTGTTATTCGAAAAAAATATAATAATATACATTAGAAATTCGATCAGACCGCTGTCGCGATGCGCCCAGCGGCCGGCGCGCCGCTCCGCACATCGCGCCTATCGGGCCCGATTGTCGCGAGATGCAGTGCGGCCACTTCGCCGCTCGACGCATCGAGACGATCAGGAGCAGCCGCCGCCGTCGCGATGCGCAAAGCGGCCAGCATTTGGCCGCTCCGCGCATCGCGCCGACCGTGCCGCCGCTGTCACGATGCGCACTGTGGCCAGCTTTTGGCCGCTCCGCGCATCGCGCCGACCAGGCCGCCGCCGTCGCAATGCGCAATGCGGCCACCCTGCTGGGCGAGAGTGTGCCACCGCCGAGGCCAGGGTTTCCATGCTCTCTCGTCTGCTAGCCCCCCCTCTCGTGCTCTCTTGTCTCCTGCCCTTTTTTTCTCACTCCCTCACATGCCGTGTCATCCCCAGCCAAAGCCTCGATTACGTCAATTCCCTCTCTCGTGCCAGGCCTCGCTTTTATGCTATCTCGTGCTTGACTGCTCTCTAATCCCCTGACACTCTGATCCCCTCTCATACCCTCTCACACACTCATCCCCTCTCACACACTCATCCCCTCTCACACACTCATCCCCTCTCACACACTCATCCCCTCTCACACACTCTCATCCCTCTCACACACTCTCATCCCTCTCACACACTCTCATCCCTCTCACACACTCTCATCCCTCTCACACACTCTCATCCCTCTCACACACTCTCATCCCCTCTCATCCCCTCTTCTCCCTTCTCATCCACTCTCATCCTCTCTCATCCCCTCACATACACTCTCATACACTCTCATACACTCTCATACCCTCTCATCCACTCTCATCTCCTCTCATAAACTCCCATACACTCTCATTCACTCGCATCCCCTCTCATACACTCTCATACACTCTCATTCACTCTCGTACACTCTCATTCCCTCTCATCTCCTCTCATCCACTCCTATCCCTTCTCGTACACTCGCATCTCCTCCCGTACCCTCTCATACACTCTCATACACTCTCATACACTCTCATACCCTCTCATCCACTCTCATCTCCTTTCATAAACTCTCATACACTCTCATTCACTCTCATCCCCTCTCATACACTCTCATCCACTCTCATCCACTCTCGTACACTCTCATTCCCTCTCCTCTCCTCTCATCCACTCCTATCCCTTCTCATACACTCGCATCCCCTCTCATACCCTCTCATACACTCTCATGCACTCTCGTACACTCTCATTCACTCACATCCACTATCATGTACACTCTCATATCTTCTCATACACTCCCATACACTCTCATTCACTCTCATTCACTCTCTACCACTCTCATACACTCTCATACACTCTTATGAGCTCTCATCCCCTTTCATACACTCTCATACACTCTCAGTCGCCCCCATTCCCCCTCATCCCCTCACATGCTCTCATTCCCTCTCATTCCCTCGCATTCCCTCTCATTTCCCTTTCATTCCCTCTCATCCACTCTCATTCCCTCTCATCCCCTCTCATTCACTTTCATCCCCTTTCGTCCCCTCTCATTCCCTCTCATTCATTCTCATACACTCTCATCCCCTCCCATTCACTCTCGTCCACTCTCATCCCCTCTCATCCTATCACACACTCTATCATTCCCTCTCATCTCCTCTCATTCACTCTCATCCATTCTCATACGCTCTGATACACTCTCATCCCCTCTCACACACTCTCATTCCCTTTCATCCCCTCTCATTCACTCTCATTCTCTCTCATCCCCTCTCATCCCCTCTCATCCCTCTCATACATTGTCATACACTCTCATCCCCTCTCATCACCTCTCTGGTCCTGGTTCCCCGTTCCTATCATATACACTCTCAACCCCTCTCATACACTCCCATACACACTCATACACTCTCATCCCTCCTCATCCACTCTCATACACTCTCATCCCCTCTCATCCCCTCTCATTCTCTCTCATCCACTCTCATACACTCTGATACACTCTCACCCCCTCACATCCCCTCACACACTCTCATTCCCTTTCATCCCCTCTCATTCACTCTCATTCACTCATATTCCCTCTCATTCCCACTCATCCACTCTCATTCCCTCTCATTTCCTCTCATTCCCTCTCATACACTCTCATCCCCTCTCATCCCCTCTCATCCCCTCTCATACACTCTCATATACTCTCTTACACACTCTCATCCCTCCTCATCCACTCTCATACACTCTCAACCCCTCTCATCCTCTCTCATACACTATTATTCACTCTCACATACACTCTCATACACTCTTGTACACTCTCATCCCCTCTCATCCCCTCACATACTCTCATTCCCTTTCATCCCCTCTCATTCACTCTCATTCACTCATATTCCCTCTCATTCCCTCTCATCCACTCTCATTCCCTCCCATTCCCTCTCACTCCCTCTCATCCACTCTCATCCCCTCTCATCCCCTGTCATCCCCTTTGATCCCCTTTCATCCCCTCTCACTCCCTCTCATCCACTCTCATCCCCTCTCATCCCCTCTCATCCCCTTTCATCCCCTCTCATTCCTTCTCAACCCCTCTCATCCACTCTCATACCCTCTCATACACTCTCAACCCCTGTCATACACTCCCATTCACTCTCATACACTCTCATTTCCTCTCATCCCCTCTCATCCCCTCTCATACACTCGATGAGAGTCTCATACCCTCTCATACCCTCCCATACACTATCATATGCACTCTCATCACCTCTCATACACTCTCATTCCATCCCATCCCTTTGAGTTGGCTAGGTGGAGAGGTAATCAGCAAAGACGCGTTCTGTCCCTTTCGCATTGTCATACACGGGTCCAATAACTGTACCATAAAGGTCTCGGTAGCTAGTTTGATTCATGCCGTCGGATGCATATCTGGTGCCAGGAGAGATAGGAAGACAGCAGTCGGAGTGTTTACAAGGGAGACGATACATCACCATGACGATGACGGACCCACCAAGAGTGCCGGATATATCGGTGGCCGAGGACGGGTGTCGGTTGAGGACTGCGAAGGTCATGGCTGCAGAACACATATGGAGGGTGCAAGAGAATGGATGACGGAAGGAGATGAGAAGGCAGGAGCTGACTTAGTGCTTACACCTATAAATGTTATCTAAAGTGACGGTTAGGGGGTGGGTAAATTGGTGTGGGCGGCTTATAAATGGCTGGTTAGACAGTGTTGTCGATGAGGTATAAGGGACGATAAGCGTGGTGCGGAGAAATTTCATCGTCAATTTGGACGGTTCAGAGCTGGATAGTCCTGCGAGCATGGTTTAGGGATTAGGGGGGAATGGTTTCGGGTAGAAGTGTGGCTTCTCCGTGGGACACCGAGCTGATCGGATCATTAAAAAAAAAAGATATGTTTCTAGCGTTGTATACTATTTCGTCTACTTTCATCATTGCATACTGCCGTGCAGGTTCTGAAACATTCGTATCAAACACCATCTCTGCTTTTAGCAATCGCACATGTGCAAAACTGCTAAGTTGACACAACTAAGTGGGCGAGGGTAGGTATGCCAGACTACAAGCAAACTAGATGAAACTCGCTCTTGACTCTTGAGGTCAACTTACCGTACTACGGTAACCATGCATACCATAGTCCCAAGTGTAGTATCTACAAGGACCTGCTACTATTCTCTATCCCTATTGGCAATGAGATCTATTGTGCAATCCATGCATTAACCCCGCAACCTACTGATGGAGTGGCATGCCCATATGACTGTACGGTATTGTTAAAAACATTTCAATAGGCCACAACAGGTATGTACATGACACGACTTGTCAACCATTGCCGTGATTAAGGGTAGGTAATTTATTCAACAACTCCCATGCTCACCTACCTGCCCCACAACGTCCTGTTAAAAATGGACACACTGAACAACACAAACAACTGAAAGAAGTAACTAGAAGATGTTGAGCAATTGATACTAATTGTTTTAACTATTGAATATTGGTACCATACGCTTGCATGGGAGTATTTTTGTGACGGTGCAGAGCCACGGTCGGAAAAAAAAGGACATGCTATCAAACCAGTTGCAGTGCGCTCTTGAAGTCAATCCTGTAACCATGACTAAAATATCATGCATAGCCCACAAGTTTTACTGCAAAGAGCAATTACTGTTCTCGTCCCCCTGTTGGCACGATGTCCTGTTGTGCATACTAGGCACCGACCCCTCAACCTCCCGTTGCAATGGCATGCCCACATGGCTCCAACGTTGCGTCAGGCCTGCAACATTCCCGTGCATTGGCATTCCCACGCGTCCCCATCGTTGGTTAAGGGCTTGAACGTACCCAGTTTGCCCTTGTAACGCTTCCTGGGACCCAAGTTGGCCTCTCGTATCCTGCTGCCCTCCCATCCCCTGCAGCCCTCCCATCCCCTGCTGCCCTCCCAGTCCCTGCTGCCCTCCCATCCCCGCCTGTCCTCCGCACCCCTGCTGCCCTGTCATCACGTGCTGCCTGACCATCCCATGCAGCCCTCCCAGTCCCTGCTGCCCTCCCAACCCCGCCTGTCCTCCGCTCCCCTGCTGCCCTGTCATCCCGTGCTGCCTGGCCATCCCCTGCTGCCCTCCCATCCCCTGCAGCCCTCCCATCCCCTGCTGCCCTCCCAACCCCGCCTGTCCTCCGCACCCCTGCTGCAGTGTCATCCCATTCTGCCTTCCCATCCCCTGCAGCCCTCCCATCCCCTACTGCGCTCCCAACCCCTCCTGTCCTCCGCTCCCCTGCTGCCCTGTCATCCCGTGCTGCCTTGCCATCCCCTGCTGCCCTCCCATCCCCTGTTTCCCTCCCCTCCCCTGCTGCCCTCCCATCCCCTGCTGCGCTCCCATCCCCACCTGTCCTCCGCTCCCCTGCTGCCCTGTCATCCCGTGCTGCCTGGCCATCCGCTGCAGCCCTCCCATCACCTGCAGCCCTCCTATCCCCTGCTGCCCTCCCAACCCCGCCTGTCCTCTGCACCCCTGCTGCAGTGTCATCCCATTCTGCCTTCCCATCCCCTGCAGCCCTCCCATCCCCTGCTGCGCTCCCAACCCCGCCTGTCCTCCGCTCCCCTGCTGCCCTGTCATCCCGTGCTGCCTTGCCATCCCCTGCTGCCCTCCCATCCCCTGCTGCCCTCCCATCCCCTGCTGCCCTCCCATCCCCTGCTGCCCTCCCAACCCCGCCTGTCCTCTGCTCCCCTGCTGCCCTGTCATCCCATGCTGCCTGGCCATCCCCTGCTGCCCTCCCATCCTTTGCTGCCCTCCCATCCTTTGCTGCCCTCCCAACCCCAGCTGTCCTCCCCTTCCCTGCTGCCCTCTCAACCCCTGCTGACCTTCCATCCCTTCCAATCCGCTGCCACCATTTTGTTCCAACCGTTCAGCTCCGCCCTGCTGTTCCGTGGACGACCGAGATCCATATCTGCCTCTGCCTCTCCCTCTCCCTCTTCCTCTTCCCTGTTGCCCTGTGCTTGCATGGCGTCCCCTGCCTCTGCCCCTACCTTCAGTTGATGTACGTTCCTCTCCTGCCTGTCTCACTACATCACGCTGCAGGAGTAATCCCTGTATCTGCCGTATACGCCCTGCAACCACGTCCTCCGCAGTCCTCAGCCCTTCCACCTGCTCGGCCACCGAAGTATCCGACACTCGTCCCGCCTGACTCTCTTGTGTGATGTCTATCTGTGTCGCCCCTGAATTATCTGTTTGAGTGGGCAAGTCTGAGTTCGTGGTTGTGCGTTCACCAAGACCAACATCACCGGCAGTTCCAGGATCCCTACCAAACACCTCGATCAGCGCCCCACCATATGTCACGGTGTCACGATCATCCCGTCCCTCCTCATCCTCTTCACCAATCCCTTCAACCAAACCGACACTCCCATCATCCTCGCTGCACGATTCCTCCTCCACATCACCCGGCTGTCCTTGTCTACGCATGGCTTGACACCTAATCCCTCTGCGGTGAGTTCGGTTGCAAGCGTTGCACAGGGCTACATGCACTACACCATCTGCGTCCGTCATTGTTTGCACTGACAATTGCCCTGCGGGGGTTTGCAAAGCCTCCCACAACACTCTGTTGGCTGCACGGACCTCGCATGTTTGGGCATTATGACCGTACTCACCGCACTTTCCACACTTGCGCAACTTGATTGGGTCCATCTCTCCTGTGGACCGCATTCTTCGCTTTGGTGGCCGACCTGCCTTCTTCTTGCAGACCGGAGGGAGGGTAACGCCGTCAGGGACCACAGAGGTTGGGTCGAGGAGTCGGATCGGCGTTCTGTACACTTGTTGCAGTGCAGGAGTTGTGTGATATTTCTGGATCACTGCGTGCGCCTTCTGACCATCATTTCTGAACACAGCGAAGATGTGTACGCATGGCAGCCCGTATTCCCTGTTTTTGGGATAAATGGGCGAAGAGGTAAAAAGGGATTAACGCATTATTGAAACTATCAAGCATCCTGTAAATATACAAACAGTGCCCCCCCCCCAAGGCAGCTCACAAATATACGAACAGTGCCCTCCCATAAGATAAGTGATGTTTAAGGAAAACAAGATAATTTCACCCCATGCTGCCCTGTCATCCCATGATGCCCTATCGTCCCGCATCCCTAAAAACATAACCTAAACACCACTTACTTGGTGTAGCCACATGATCAGTGGGTGGCTGCAAGATCCTCGGGGTTTGTGGTCACGACGCGCGACTCCTCCCCTTGGCACACTATGTACTCGTTCTCTCCCGATTCAACCACCCTGTATCTTTTGCCCTCATCGCGATTCCCAAGGACTATTGGCTTTGTCCTGGGGGGGAAGTCAGCGGCTGTCATCTCGGAGTATAATCGACGTCTCTCTTCGATCTTCGTCGATAGCCTAGATGCCAAGCCTAGCAGCACCTGCGGCAGATTCTTATCCCGCGATCCCGAAAGTGACGCATGGTGAGACTCAACGGGATTAGAAGACAAGCATCCATAACGCGGTGCTCCAAAATAAGCTGTCGCCCACTTAACGCCCAATCCATTGTCCACAAGGTACGAGGATCCACCGGGACATTCTATCTCAATTTTTTCCATTGTCTTGAGGTACACAAGCGGTGTCAGAGCCGCGGCATCTGCAAGAATTCGTCCGTCCAAATCTGTCATGAATTTGTTTTTGAAGTTTCGAACCAAATGGGTGATGCAAAAAGACTCCCGTATAAGGGGGAGACAAGTGGATGTGGCGGATATCCATGCCCCTCCCCTATCATGCATCATGACAAAGTTAGAGGAGTTCACCTCTGGAACGGCCTCCAATAGGAGATTGAATAGGAAGGCACATGCATGCTTGTTTTCACCCTCCACCCATGCACATCCCAACATAACAAGTTTGTGTTGGCTATCCAACATGCATATGCTCAGGGTGTATCCCCCCCATGCGGTCTTATTATGACATCCATCCACAAAAATGATCGGCAGGCAGTTCATGACCGCATCTCTCGCCCCTGGAAAAATAATCCCCGCACGGTAGAAGTCATTTCCCCGTCTGACCATGGACACGACAGATGAAGGGTTTCATCCTTGAACTTTCCTAACAGGTCCTCCATGTATTGAAACCCATCGTCTCCACAAAACGGATCCGCATTCCTCAGCTTAAAGAGCACCTCGCGTGCAACCGTGTACGAGCACTCCACACGTAAAACCGCCCTAACATGACTCATCAACACATGAGGTCTCACATTGCCATGCTTTAGCATCTCACGCGCAACCTCTTTGACCTCATCCCTCCGAATCCTTGCAGCATCGGTGACACACCTATCGGCGTGATGCAAACTAGCCATCGTGACCCGCATGTTACTATAGCGCGGTCCCCGTATGACAACACGGAATGGACACATCCCTTCTCCGATGTCCACCTCCCCACGAGGCCATACCTTGCCCTCCATGAATTTGCACCTCACCTCAATGAGATTCGACCGATTATAGCGGAAATAGGGAGCAAACGTCTGCTGCCTACAGTACAACCGTACCTCCTCCCTTGCTGCTACAGCAGTTGGGTGGAGCTTCCCCTTGTAAATGTTGACAGCATCATCTTCCTGCACATCAAAATTGCTACAGGACCAAAAGATAACGGATGGAGGGATATCACACGGAAGTTTGCAAGTTATCGTATACAATTCTTGTTTGGAAATGAACGGGGGTTGATATTAACAATGCAGTTTAGCTTGTTTGATGGTTAACATGGGTATTCAACATCAACCCCTCACCTTGAACGTATGAGGCGAAACATGTTGTTCCTCACGACCGCCACAAGCTCTGTTGGACAATAAGACCATGCGGATATAAAGTGTAGTGTTGTGCATGAAAGAGAATGTAAGGGGGAAAATTGAGCGCCTTTCAAGAGTTAGGGGCATGATTAGGAGACAAGAGAGAATGTCACATAAAACGAACATTTCGTGTGAAATAGAGGGCCGCAAAGGGGACGGGTTGATGATGGGAGGAGATGGGGAAGAGTGTATGAGAGTGTATGAGAAGGGATGAGAGTGTATGAGAGTGTATATGAAAGTATATGGGAGGGTATGTGAGGGTATGAGACTCTCATAGAGTGTATGAGAGGGGATGAGAGGGGATGAGAGGAAATGAAAGTGGATGAGAGTGAATGGGAGTGTATGATAGGGGTTGAGAGTGTATGAGAGTGTAGGGAGTGAATGAGAGTGGTTGAGAGTGTATGAGAGTGTATGTGAGGGGATGAGAGTGGATGAGAGGGGTTGAGAAGGAATGAGAGGGGATGAAAGGGGATGAGAGGGGATGAGAGGGGATGAGAGTGGATGAGAGGGAGTGAGAGGGGATGAAAGGGGATGAAAGGGGATGAGAGGGGATGAGAGGGGATGAGCGTGGATGAGAGGGAATGAGAGGGAATGGGAGGGAATGAGAGTGGATGAGAGTGAATGGGAGTGTATGATAGGGGTTGAGAGTATATGAGAGTGTAGGAGAGTGAATGAGAGTGGTTGAGAGTGTATGAGAGTGTATGTGAGGGGATGAGATGAGAGGGTATGAGAGTGGATGAGAGGGGTTGAGAAGGGATGAGAGGGGATGAGAGGGGATGAGAGGGGGTGAGAGTGGATGAGAGGGAATGAGAGTGTATGAGAGGGAATGAGAGTGTAAGTGAGGGGATGAGAGGGAATGAGAGTGTATGAGAGTGAATGGGAGTGTATGACAGGGGTTGAGAGTGTATGAGAGTGTAGGAGAGTGAATGAGAGTGGTTGAGAGTGTATGAGAGGGAATGAGAGGGGATGAAAGGGGATGAAAGGGGTTGAGAGGGAATGAGAGTGGATGAGAGGGAATGAGAGGGAATGAGAGGGAATGAGAGTGGATGAATGGGAATGAGAGGGAATGTGAGTGAATGAGTGAGTGAGAGGGGATGAAATGGAATGAGAGTGTGTGAGGGGATGAGACGGGATGAGAGTGTACAAGAGTGTATGAGAGTATAAGAGAGTGGATGAGGAGGGATGAGAGTGTGTAAGAGTGGATGAGAGTGTATGAGAGGGGATGAGAGGGGATGAGAGGGGATGAGTGTGTATCAGAGTGTATGAGAGTGTATGAGAGGGAATGAGAGGGGATGAAAGGGGATGAAAGTGGATGAGAGGGGATGAAAGTGTATGAGAGTGTATGGGAGTGTCTGTGAGGGAATGAGAGTGTGTGAGAGGGGATGAGAGGGGATGAGAGTGTATGAGTGTGGATGAGAGGGGATGAGAGGGTATGAGAGGGAATGAGAGGGGATGAGTGTGAATGAGAGGGGATGAGAGGGAATGGGAGTGTGTGTGAGGGGATGAGAGTGTATGAGAGTGTATGTGAGGGGATGAGAGTGTATGAGAGTGAATGAGAGGGGTTGAGAAGGGATGAGAGGGGATGAGAGGGGATGAGAGGGGATGAGAGTGTATCAGAGTGTATGAGAATGAATGAGAGGAGATGAGAGTGTATGAGAGTGTATGAGAGGGAATGAGAAGGGATGCAAGGGGATGATCGTGAATGAGAGGGGATGAAAGGGAATGAGAGTGTGTGAGGGGATGAAAGGTGATGAGAGTGTATCAGAGTGTATGAGAGTGTATGAGAGGGAATGAGAGGGGATGAAAGGGAATGAAAGTGAGGGGATGAAAGGGGATGAGAGTGTATCAGAGTGTAAGAGTGTATGAGAGGGAATGAGAGGGTATGAGAGGGGATGAAAGGGGATGAGAGGGGATGAGAGGAAATGAGAGGGAATGAGAGTGAATAAGAGGGGATGAGAGGGAATGAGAGGGAATGAGAGTGGATGAGTGGGAATGAGAGGGAATATGAGTGAATGAGAGTGAATGAGAGGGGATGAAAGGGAATGAGAGTGTGTGAGGGGATGAGAGTGTATCAGAGTCTATGAGAGTGGATGAGAGAGAATGAGAGGGGATGAGAGGGGCTGAAAGGGGATGAAAGGGGATGAGAGGGAATGAGAGTGGATGAGAGGGAATGAGAGGGAATGAGAGTGGATGAATAGGAATGAGAGGGAATATGAGTGAATGAGATTGAATGAGAGGGGATGAAAGGGAATGAGAGTGTGTGAGGGGATGAAAGGTGATGAGAGTGTATCAGAGTGTATGAGAGTGTATGAGAGGGAATGAGAGGGGATGAAAGGGAATGAAAGTGAGGGGATGAAATGGGATGAGAGTGTATCAGAGTGTGAGAGTGTATGAGAGTGTATGAGAGGGAATGAGAGGGGATGAAAGGGGATGAAAGGGGATGAGAGGGGATGAGAGGAAATGAGAGGGAATGAGAGTGAATAAGAGGGAATGAGAGGGAATGAGAGGGAATGAGAGTGGATGAGTGGGAATGAGAGGGAATATGAGTGAATGAGAGTGAATGAGAGGGGATGAAAGGGAATGAGAGTGTGTGAGGGGATGAGAGTGTATCAGAGTCTATGAGAGTGGATGAGAGAGAATGAGAGGGGATGAGAGGGGATGAGAGTGTATGAGAGTGTATGAGAGGGAATGAGGGGATGAAAGGGGATGAAAGTGGATGAGAGGGGATGAAAGTGTATGAGAGTGTATGAGAGGGAATGAGAGTGTATGAGTGTGGATGAGAGGGTATGAGAAGGAATGAGAGGGAATGAGAGTGAATGAGAGGGGATGAGAGTGTATGTGAGGGGATGAGAGTGAATGAGAGGGGTTGAGAAGGGATGAGAGGGGATGAGAGGGGAAGAGAGGGGATGAGAGTGTATCAGAGTGTATGAGAGTGAATGAGAGGGGATGAGATTGTATGAGAGTGTATGAGAGGGAATGAGAGGGGATGAAAGGGGATGACCATGAATGAGAGGGGATGAGAGAGTATGAGAGGGAATGAGAGTGTATGAGAGGGAATGAGAGTGTATGTGAGGGGATGAGAGGGAATGAGAGGGGATGAAAGGGGATGAAAGGGGATGAGAGGGAATGAGAGTGGATGAGAGGGAATGAGAGGGAATGAGAGTGGATGAATGGGAATGAGAGGGAATATGAGTGAATGAGTGAGTGAGAGGGGATGAAAGGGAATGAGAGTGTGTGAAGGGATGAAAGGGGATGAGAGTGTATCAGAGTGTATCAGATTGTATGAGAGTGTATGAGAGGGAATGAGAGAGGATGAAAGGGGATGAAAGCAAATGAGAGGGGATGAAATTGAATGAGAGTGTATGAGAGTGTCTGTGAGGGAATGAGAGTGTGTGAGAGGGGATGAGAGGGGATGAGAGTGTATAAGTTTGGATGAGAGGGGATGAGAGTGTTTGAGAGGGTATGAGAGGGGATGAGAGTGTATCAAAGGGTATGAGAGTGAATGAGAGGGGATGAGAGGGGATGAGAGTAGATGAGAGGGTATGAGAGGGAATGAGAGTATATGAGAGTGGGTGAGAGGGATGGAGAGGGGATGAGTGTGTATGAGAGGGGGTGAGAGAGAGGGATGGAGAGGGGATGAGTGTGTATGAGAGGGGGTGAGAGAAAGATGGGTAGGAGACAAGAGAGCACGAGAGGGGAGGATAGCAGATGAGAGTTCATGGGAACCCTGGTCTCGGCGGTGGCCAGAGAGGCGCGACGCGCTGAGCGGCGGGCTGGCGGCTTGGCGTATCATGTTGGCGGATTGTCGTGATGCGCCCAGCAGGGTGGCCTCATTGCGCATTGCGACGGCGGCGGCCCGGTCGGCGCGATGCGCGTTGCGGCCCGAAGCTGGCCGCAATGCGCATCGCGGCGGCGGCTGCTCCTGATCGTCTCGATGCATCTCGCGACGATCAGGCCCGATCGGCGCGATGCGCAGAGCGGCGCGCCGGCCGCTGGGCGCATCGCGACAGCGGTCTGATCAATTGTTTTATATGTATTAGTAGTATTTTTTGAGTAACAAGGGACTAAACGTGAACGGATGGGAAAAGGCTTTTGGGCTAAGGCACGCACCGTTGATAGACGTCAGGTGTTGCTAACGAACGCCTTGGATGCGTGACGGGGAAGACAGCTGGCGAAAGCTATAGATACTAGTAATAGCGTGAGTAATAGCTGATGGCGGGAAGTAAGTTGGAGAGATGCGCTGGGATCAAGGTTGCGTACTTGGTTGGAACCGTAGCGAGAAGGGGGGTGTACAGCACGTCAGATCGTGGTGTGGTTACCGTGGGCTACAGGCTCGACGGTACAGGCGTGCATCAAACCTCTCCGCACGAGTTGGCGCGAGCGGGAAATCGGCCTGGTTTCAGGAATTTCTGGTGGGAGTTTCATGTATTACCATTCGCGTGATTTTTCACCTGTTGTTAGTGACTGAATCCGTGACCCCACTTACCAAGCCCGTCAGGATACTCGATACAGTTACCGTACGCATTTTGTTTTTACCATTGACGTTATCGGGTCACATGATGGTTACTTGTGGCATATTTTCCCGTCACTTCAGCGCCAAAACTGGTATCTGTTTCGAACACCTGGGTCTGACAATCAGTTCTGACACACCGCAACTTACACGTGAATTCAGAAATCGTACGCGGTATTAACTGATTTCACGGATGCACCTCGAAACAAGTTTGACACACACCGCAATTTTACATGAAGCACTGAAGCAGCTGTTTAGCTGACTGGAGCAACTGAAGCACTCTGAGCTGCCGTATTGTTGTTCCACGAATCACTTCTGGTAACTGCGATAGCTCTTTTTCACTCCCTCAGTTTCCGAGCTTCTCCTATCAGCACCAGCAGAGCAAATTTCAGGCTAAGCCTTGGATTTCCTCACGGAATTGCCAATATGCCGCATCTTAACCGGTAGCGAGGCCTCAGTTTGCCAGCGTCAGGCAACGGCTCGCAAGTTTCCGTGGACGGATAGCAAGCAAGCCGTAGAGAAGGAGGTGTCTCGGCGCAGCGACGTTTAGATCATCCACGTCTCCCATTTGCGTCTCCGCGCCTGTTCCGCCTTTCCTCCGCCTTCTTTCCGCCTTTCTTCCGCCTTCTTTCCCCCGGAATGGTGTCGGATGCGGCTAAGCGCAAGGCCGCGGCAAAAAAAGCCGCACAGCTCAACCGCAGCGCGCTGAAGGTCTCCGCGCCTATGCGTAATATACATGGGTGCGCGCTGAAGGTCTCCGCACCGTGTCCCTTGAGCCCGGTGCACAGCACATTGCCACCGCTCAGACAGCACTCAGCAGTCAGCTTGGCGGACCACGAGTGCGAATCTCCACTAAAGGCCGCCTGCCTCGCGCTCGTGCGTCAGCCACGCCAGCGAGCTCTCAAGAGCCTGACAGTTCGCCGCAGCCAAGCGAGCCAAAACAGAGAAACGAGGACGAAAAGCAGGTCCTAGCTGTTGAAGCGCCGCGCCGCACGGTCGTTCTGCTACCCATGGCGGCCTGTAGGCGGAATCACCGTTGGATCTTTCGTGGGGTCGCCGATGCCGTTGGCAGCGTCGCAGGCGGCAGAGGCGGCGACGGCGGAGGCGTCGGAGGCCGCGTACGTGGCGACGGCAGCCGTCATGCCGCTGGCTCAGAAAACAAGCACCGTATATGGTAGGCTCGCATCGCTTCTCGCACCGCACCTCCAACATCTCAGCAGCTCAGCGTCGCCTTGATCTCCCATGTCGTATAGAATTGCGCAACCGCAACTGTTCAACAGACATCCGTTCCACCTCGCAAACCATCATTACCACCTCTCCCCCACCTTACACAGAGCCATTGTCGCTGCGCGCGCTTCCCCCGGTGAGGCAGCTGCGCGCCGTTCTATTCGACATTGACGGCACGCTGACGGACTCCCACGCGCTGCCCTTGCTCGCCTTCCAGCGCATGCTCTGCCACGTCGCCTTCCATTCCACGGCGGGCCACCCATGGACGAAGCGTTCTTCCGCACGCGGATCAGCGGCACGCACAACCCTGGCACTGGCCGGGACCTGTTCCCGGACTGCACCGAGGAGCAGCGCGCGGCGTTTCTTGACGAAAAGGAAGATCTCTTTAGAAGGTCCGTGTGTGCTGCTGTAAGCGGTATTGGGATTGTGTGATCTATCACCCCCATCACCCCCATCACCCCCATCACCCCCATCACCCCCATCACCCCCATCACCCCCATCACCGCCATCACCCCCATCACCCCCATCACCCCCATCACCCCCATCACCCCCATCACCCCCATCACCCCCATCACCCCCATCACCCCCATCACCCCCATCACCCCCATCACCCCCATCACCGCCATCACCCCCATCACCCCCATCACCCCCTTCACCCCCATCACCCCCATCACCCCCATCACCCCCATCACCGCCATCACCCCCATCACCCCCATCACCCCCATCACCCCCATCACCGCCATCACCCCCTTCACCCTCATCACCGCCATCACCCCCATCACCCCCATCACCCCCATCACCCCCATCACATCACATCACCCCCATCACCCCCATCACCCCCATCACCCCCATCACCCCCATCACCCCCTTCACCCCCATCACCCCCTTCACCCCCATCACCCCCTTCACCCTCATCACCCCCATCACCCCCATCACCCCCATCACCCCCATCACCCCCATCACCCCCATCACCCCCATCACCCCCTTCACCCTCATCACCCCCATCACCCCCATCACCCCCATCACCGCCATCACCCCCATCACCCCCTTCACCCCCATCACCCCCATCACCCCCTTCACCCTCATCACCCCCATCACCCCCATCACCCCCATCACATCACATCACCCCCATCACCCCCATCACCCCCATCACCCCCTTCACCCCCTTCACCCCCATCACCCCCATCACCCCCATCACCCCCATCACCCCCATCACATCACATCACCCCCATCACCCCCATCACCCCCATCACCCCCTTCACCCCCTTCACCCCCATCACCCCCATCACCCCCATCACCCCCATCACCCCCATCACCCCCATCACCGCCATCACCCCCATCACCCCCTTCACCCCCATCACCCCCATCACCCCCTTCACCCTCATCACCGCCATCACCCCCATCACCCCCATCACCCCCATCACCCCCATCACCCCCATCACCGCCATCACCCCCATCACCCCCATCACCCCCTTCACCCCCATCACCCCCATCACCCCCATCACATCACATCACCCCCATCACCCCCATCACCCCCATCACCCCCTTCACCCCATCACCCCCATCACCCCCATCACCCCCATCACCCCCATCACCCCCATCACCCCCATCACCCCCATCACCCCCATCACCCCCATCACCCCCATCACCCCCATCACCCCCATCACCCCCATCACCCCCATCACCCCCATCACCCCCATCACCCCCATCACCCCCATCACCCCCATCACCCCCTTCACCCCCTTCACCCCCATCACCCCCATCACCCCCATCACCCCCATCACCGCCATCACCCCCATCACCCCCATCACCCCCATCACCCCCATCACCCCCATCACCCCCATCACCCCCATCACCCCCATCACCCCCATCACCCCCATCACCCCCATCACCCCCATCACCCCCATCACCCCCATCACCCCCATCACCCCCATCACCCCCATCACCCCCATCACCCCCATCACCCCCATCACCGCCATCACCCCCATCACCCCCATCACCCCCTTCACCCCCATCACCGCCATCACCCCCTTCACCCTCATCACCGCCATCACCCCCATCACCCCCATCACCCCCATCACATCACATCACCCCCATCATCCCCATCACCCCCATCACCCCCATCACCCCCATCACCCCCTTCACCCCCATCACCCCCTTCACCCCCATCACCCCCATCACCCCCTTCACCCTCATCACCCTCATCACCCCCATCACCCCCATCACCCCCATCACCCCCATCACCCCCATCACCCCCATCACCGCCATCACCCCCATCACCCCCTTCACCCCCATCACCCCCATCACCCCCTTCACCCTCATCACCCCCATCACCCCCATCACCCCCATCACCCCCATCACCCCCATCACCCCCATCACCCCCATCACCCCCATCACCCCCATCACCCCCTTCACCCCCTTCACCCCCATCACCCCCATCACCCCCATCACCCCCATCACCCCCATCACCCCCATCACATCACATCACCCCCATCACCCCCATCACCCCCATCACCCCCTTCACCCCCTTCACCCCCATCACCCCCATCACCCCCATCACCCCCATCACATCACATCACCCCCATCACCCCCATCACCCCCATCACCCCCTTCATCCCCTTCACCCCATCACCCCCATCACCCCCATCACCCCCATCACCCCCATCACATCACATCACCCCCATCACCCCCATCACCCCCTTCACCGCCATCACCCCCTTCACCCCCATCACCCCCATCACCCCCATCACCCCCATCACCCCCATCACCCCCATCACCCCCTTCACCCCCATCACCCCCTTCACCCCCATCACCCCCATCACCCCCATCACCCCCATCACCCCCTTCACCCCCATCACCCCCATCACCCGCACACCAGACTGGCAGCGGATCACACCAAGCCAGTGGAGGGGTTGGACCGGCTGTGTGCGTGTGGATACAGGCAGCAGGGCTGCGCACGGCCGCAGTCACAAACGCACCACGGGAGAATGCGGAGCAGGTGCTGGCAGCGCTGGGCCTCACCTCCTTCTTTGAGCACCTTATTATCGGATCCGAGTGTGCCCGCGCCAAGCCCTTCCCCGACCCGTACCAGCAGGCCATGCAGCGGTTCGGCGTGCGGCCGGACAAATGCTTTGCGTGTGAGGTGAGTCTGTCTTATGCTGGGATGGGAGGGGTGGTGCAGCAACAGGCAAGGGCTGGGCGAGCGGCTCACTTGCTTCTTACTTACTTCTCAATAGTGATGCTCGCTACTTTCACCCGGCTTTGGCGTGCGGTATTCGAGGCGTCTCAGAAAGTGACCTGCACTGCACATGACATGTGACGGGGACAGCTACATGCTGGTCCGCAAGTATCTATGTGTTACAACAAACAAGTACTCTCTTACCCAGAAAAGGCGGCAAGAGGGAGTCGAGCCGCAACCACCCACTCAGTCTAATGCTAAAAAACGCATATCCTGGTTTGGATTCGCTTTCTCGTCACCTCCTTTGCCCTGTGCACCCTCCCAACAGACCCTTTCCCCCTTGGGAGCACAGGGCCCTGAGTGGCGGTGTAATTGGCGCCATACCCACTGCGCTCTCTGCTCTCACTCGCCTTCGTTACCTGTGAGCCCCCCTGACCTGCTCCCTCCCACCCGCCTTCTCTCCTCTCCTCTCCTCTCCCCGCCTCCTCTCATTTTGACCATGTGAACTCTCAGAGTCACTGCCTTGACACCATGCATGGGATACGTTGCGTGGTGTGGTGTGGTATGGCATGCATGGCATGGCTGGCATGTGGCGTTGGTGGGTGGGGATGCATGGAATGGAATGCACGGCATATGGCATGTGACATGTGTGTGTATGTCATGTCATGGATGCAGGGACTTGAGCAACAACCTCCTCACTGGCTCCGTTCCCGATGCTCTCAGCACCCTTACCAGACTCGCCTACCTGTGAGCACTGCACTGCACTGCACTCTCCAACACTCGCTTGTCTGCAGTGGCCGCACACGCACTCTGCTGAGACCCCATCACAGCAGCACCACCAGCACCTCTACTCTCGTTGCAACGGGCTCGCACCTGCATGGGGGGCAGCTGTGAGGGATGGTGCGCCTGCATAGACTGAAAGGAGCTGCTGCGTTGGTGCATGTGCGAGCGGTCTTGCACTCACCATCCGTTTCTGATTCACGTGGCTCTGTTGTCTCTGCATGCGCCACGCACATGGGCATGGCATGGCATGGCATGGCAGGTACATGGAGCACAACTCTTTATCTGGCACCTTCCCGTCAAGCCTGTGCAACCTCCCTCTCCTCGAAACCCTGTAAGCCCACTGCGCTTCCCATCTGCTCATGGCCATGCCATGGCGTGGCGTGGCGTGGCGTGTCATTGGGTGGCATTGGGTGGCATGGGGTGGAGTTGGCTGGATGGGATGGATTGGGTTGTGACAGTTGCACTTGTGTTTGCGAGTGGGAAAAGGTGGTCACTGAAACCACACACATGATATGCTTTTCAGACTTCCATCATTTAATCCCTCCCTCCCTCCCCCCCTGCCTGCCCGTCCCCATCTGGCCCGTGCAGGTGGCTGCACCACAACACGTTTGACGGCGCTCTCCCTGACGCCATCTCTGGCCTCTCACGAATGAGAAGCCTGTACGCACACCACCACTTCCCGCTGCCACTCATGCCCGCACAGCACACTGCTGCCCCCCGTGCCATCCCCTGCTGCCGTCCCTGCCATTCCCCATCACCACTCTCCTCCCTCCTCCCTCGTACCTCCTCTCCCCTCCCTCCTCCCTCGTCTCTCCTCTCCCCTCCTCCTCCCTCGTCCCGCCTCTCTCCTCCCGTCTTCCTCCTCCCTTTTCATCTGTCTGAGGCGCATGAAAGCAAGGTCCCATGTGCGCTGTCCAGCCGTGTGTGCCTGTGCCACCGTGCTCCTTGCTCCGTTGCCTTCACTTGCACTTCTCCAATTGCCCGTCTCGACACACCCTCCTCTGAACTTACTGCCCTTCATCACATGCCCGGGGAAGTGCCTCTTAGTATTCCGTCCGTGTCGCATATTTCACTATGATCTGAACCCAAACTTTCCCAGTCCATTGCTGTCCTCTTTTTTCTCCCCCAACCCAACCCCTCCCCCCTCTCCTTTCCCTGTCGGCGTGCAGCTATCTGGGCAACAACCAGTTGTTAGGACCATTGCCTTCCACTATCAGCGGCCTTAAGAACCTGCAGCTATTGTGAGCGCATGATGTGATGCGAGTGATGTGCTGTGAGCGAGTGAAGTGCTGTGATGCGAGTGATGTGTTATCTTGAGCATCTGATGCTCTGTGCATGTGCGTGTGTGTCTGCATGCATGCATGCATGCGTGCGTGTGCACGAGAAGTCTCATATGCTTGCCTCACTCATGAGTCACAACAAGCTTGATGATGCGTGCTTGTAGTTATTGAGTCTTGAGGACGCTTATGCCTGGCAATTTGTTCGGGAGCATGTGCATTGATTTTCAAATCCATTAAGAGTCACCCCGGGGTGCATGTGTGCATGGGTGCATGTGTGCATGTGTGCATGGGTGCATGGGTGCATGTGTGCATGGGTGGATGGGTGTATGTGTGCATGGGTGCATGAGTGCATGTGTGCATGTGTGCATGGGTGCATGTGTGCAGGTACATGCCATCGAACCAGCTCACCGGTCCGCTTCCAAGCACCATTGGCAAGCTTTCTTCTCTCGAGCTCATGTATGCATGCATTCATTAAAGCTCTCGTATACATTTGACAGAAGGGGTTCAAAAACTTTTGAAATTTGAAAGTTTGCCTGTGAGACCGTGAGGTGACTTTCTAAACCCAAAACCTGGATGACAAATGTATACTTCAGCTTTAAGACTGCCCCTTTTCAGACCTTTTGAGAGCCATTGGCATTCTTATATCGCTCACTTGTTCCTGAGGAGCGATTACCAACCAAAGGCTTGCACGCCATGCCTTGGTAAGGTGGAGCGCACACCAGGCATGAACCCCGCGTCCCTGCTATATGTGCAACCACGGGTGCAGGCATCTGAGTCACAACCAGATAGACGGCGCCATCCCCAGCACCATCAGCGCCCTCACCAACCTCTGCCCGATGTGAGCTCGTCCCACTTGTACTGCTATGCCCCAATCGCTTTCCGCTATGCCCCGTGACATCCAATACCACATGCCTACTCTCTCCTCTCCTCTCCTCTCCTCTCCTCTCCTCTCCCGTGCACCCCTCGCGTGCACCCGCACCCCTCGCGTGCACCCCTCGCGTGCACCCCTCGCGTGCACCCCTCGCGTGCACCCCTCGCGTGCACCCGCACCCCTCGCGTGCACCCCTCGCGTGCACCCGTACCCCTCGCGTGCACCGCTCGCGTGCACCCGCACCCCTCGCGTGCACCCGCACCTCTCGCGTGCACACCTCGCGTGCACCCCTCGCGTGCACCCGTCGCGTGCACCCGTCGCGTGCACCCCTCGCGTGCACCCCTCGCGTGCACCCCTCGCGTGCACCCGCACCCCTCGCGTGCACCCCTCGCGTGCACCCCTCGCGTGCACCCGCACCCCTCGCGTGCACCCGCACCCCTCGCGTGCACCCCTCGCGTGCACCCGCACCCCTCGCGTGCACACCTCGTGTGCACCCCTCGCGTGCACCCATCGCGTGCACCCCTCGCGTGCATCCCTCGCGTGCACCCCTCGCGTGCACCCCTTGCGTGCACTTGCATCCCTCGCGTGCACCCCTCGCGTGCACCCCTCGCTTGCACCCCTCGCGTGCACCCCTCGCCCCTCGCGTGCACCCCTCGCTTGCACCCCTCGCGTGCGCCCCTCGCGTGCGCCCCTCGCGTGCGCCCCTCGCGTGCGCCCCTCGCGTGCGCCCCTCGCGTGCGCCCCTCGCGTGCGCCCCTCGCGTGCGCCCCTCGCGTGCACCCGCACCCCTCGCGTGCACCCCTCGCGTGCACCTCTCGCGTGCGCCCCTCGCGTGCGCCCCTCGCGTGCGCCCCTCGCGTGCGCCCCTCGCGTGCGCCCCTCGCGTGCGCCCCTCGCGTGCGCCCCTCGCGTGCGCCCCTCGCGTGCGCCCCTCGCGTGTGCCCCTCGCGTGCGCCCCTCGCGTGCGCCCCTCGCGTGCGCCCCTCGCGTGCGCCCCTCGCATGCGCCCCTCGCGTGCACCCACACCCCTCGCGTGCACCTCTCGCGTGCACCCGCACTCCTCGCGTGCACCCATTGCGTGCACCCCTCGCGTGCACCCGCACCCCTCGCGTGCACCCCTCGCGTGCACCCCTCGCTTGCACCCCTCGCGTGCACCCCTCGCGTGCGCCCCTCGCGTGCGCCCCTCGCGTGCGCCCCTCGCGTGCGCCCCTCGCGTGCGCCCCTCGCGTGCGCCCCTCGCGTGCGCCCCTCGCGTGCGCCCCTCGCGTGCGCCCCTCGCGTGCGCCCCTCGCGTGCGCCCCTCGCGTGCGCCCCTCGCGTGCGCCCCTCGCGTGCGCCCCTCGCGTGCGCCCCTCGCGTGCGTCCCTCGCGTGCACCCCTCGCGTGCACCCCTTGCGTGCACCCGCACCCCTCGCGTGCACCTCTCGCGTGCACCCGCACTCCTCGCGTGCACCCCTCGCGTGCACTCCTCGCGTGCACCCGCACCCCTCGCGTGCACCCCTCGCGTGCACCCCTCGCGTGCACCCCTCGCGTGCACCCGCACCCCTCGCGTGCACCCCTCGCGTGCGCCCCTCGCGTGCGCCCCTCGCGTGCGCCCCTCGCGTGCGCCCCTCGCGTGCACCCCTCGCGTGCGCACCTCGCGTGCACCCCTCGCGTGCACCCATCGCGTGCACCCCTCGCGTGCACCCCTCGCGTGCACCCCTCGCGTGCACCCGCACCCCTCGCGTGCACCCCTCGCTTGCACCCCTCGCGTGCACCCCTCGCGTGCGCCCCTCGCGTTCGCCCCTCGCGTGCGCCCCTCGCGTGCGCCCCTCGCGTGCGCCCCTCGCGTGCGCCCCTCGCGTGCGCCCCTCGCGTGCGCCCCTCGCGTGCGCCCCTCGCGTGCACCCGCACCCCTCGCGTGCACCCGCACCCGTCGCGTGCACCCCTCGCGTGCACCTCTCGCGTGCGCCCCTCGCGTGCGCCCCTCGCGTGCGCCCCTCGCGTGCGCCCCTCGCGTGCGCCTTGCGCGTGCGCCCCTCGCGTGCGCCCCTTGCGTGCGCCCCTCGCGTGCGCCCCTCGCGTGCGCCCCTCGCGTGCGCCCCTCGCGTGCACCCCTCGCGTGCACCCCTCGCGTGCACCCCTCACGTGTTGGCCCAGCCTGCTGCCGACTGGGTCAAAAAGGGCATGTTTCTATGGTGGGTAGCACACCCATAACCCCCCAGGCCGTGCCTGTAGCCCTCCCACACTCAACCCGGAACGATCCTAGTGCCCCACCAACAATCTCCCCCTCACTGGAGTCGTCTCCCTCTCACTTGGGGCTCGTTAGGGCACTGGCGCTCTCTTGGCGCACACTTGGATTCGAACCGGAGACCTCTGGCTCTGATACCACTGTTGGCCCAGCCAGCTACCGACTGGGTTTAAAATGGCATGTTTGTATTGTGGGTAGCACACCCATAACCCCCCAGGCCGTGCCTGTAGCCCTCCCACACTCAACCCATAACGATCCCAGTGCACCCTCGCGTGCACCCTCGCGTGCACCCCTCGCGTGCACCCCTCGCGTGCACCCCTCGCGTGCACCCCTCGCGTGCACCCCTCGCGTGCACCCCTCTCGCGCACCCCTCGCGTGCACCCCTCGCGTGCACCCCTCGCGTGCACCCCTCGCGTGCACCCCTCGCGTGCACCCGCACCCCTCGCGTGCACCCGCACCCCTCGCGTGCACCCCTCGCGTGCACCCGCACCCCTCGCGTGCACACCTCGCGTGCACCCCTCGCGTGCACCCCTTGCGTGCACCCCTCGCGTGCACCCCTCGCGTGCACCCCTCGCGCGCACCCCTCGCGTGCACCCCTCGCGTGCACCCCTCGCGTGCACCCGCACCCCTCGCGTGCACCCCTCGCGTGCACCCGCACCCCTCGCGTGCACACCTCGCGTGCACCCCTCGCGTGCACCCCTCGCGTGCACCCCTCGCGTGCACCCCTCGCGTGCACCCCTCGCGTGCACCCCTCGCGTGCACCCCTCGCGCGCACCCCTCGCGTGCACCCCTCGCGCGCACCCCTTGCGTGCACCCCTCGCGTGCACCCCTTGCGTGCACCCCTCACATGCGCCCACCGTGTTCATCCCCTACCCCCCTGTCCCCTGGCCAGCATTCTCAACGCCAATGCCCTCAACCAGCCGCTACCAAACGCGTTCAAGAAGCTCACCTACTTGAACACCCTGTCAGTTTCCCTCTCGCCTTCTCGCTGCCCCACTCCCCCTCTCACCGCCCAACTCTCCATGTTATTCCACATGCTTTTAGGTGTTAATCCACATGCTTCCATGTGCACAATCTACATCTGCTGTGTGTGTACCCCATGAATAAATCTGTGCATGAGTGCACATGTCAACGTGTGCACGTGTGCATGTGAGTGCACAGGAGGCTGGAGGAGAATCAGCTGCCGGGGTCCATCCCATCCAGCATCGGCAACCTGGATTATCTCACCGCCCTCTATGCTCTCCTCTCCCTCGCCTCCTTCACCTTCCCGCTTCACCTTTCGCGCCTGCTGCTGTCTCACGCGCCCCTCGCACCTCACCGCCCCTCGCACCTCACCGCCCCTCGCGCCTCACCGCCCCTCTTACCTCACCGCCCCTCGCGCCTCACCGCCCCTCGCGCCTCACGCGCATTCTAAACCATCCACCCACATTCATCATTTTCTCCCCATCCCATCATCTCATTATCCCATCATCCCATCATCCCATCATCCCATCATCCCATCGTCCCATCATCGCATCATCCCATCATCCCATCATCCCATCATCCCATCATTCCGTCTTCTCTCGGGGCCCTCACTTATCTCAATTTCATGTGCTCCTCCTCCCCTGTCCCAAACCCCTTGACGTACCCTTTGACACGATTCCCTCCCTCTCTCTACTCCACCCCCCTTACGATCCTGCCTGCCGCATGTCTCCTTTCAAACGTAAATTCTGCTCTCTTCTTGCCCTCTCTTGCATGTTCCTCACTCTCTCCTCTGTGTTCCTCACTCTCCTCTATGCTCCTCACTCTCCCCCACTGCTCCAATACCGTGCCTGCAGGGACCTGCGCTGGAACGATCTCACAGGAACGCTGCCTGCCACTCTGGGAAACATGACTAACCTTCAGATCCTGTGGGTTCAACCTAGTTTTGAGACGTCTCAAATCAGATCCTGTGGTTGCAACCTATGCCCTCCCATCCCATCTCAATCGTTCCAGTTTAAAACACACCTTTCAACGCAAAGCCTCACCACCGTCCCCACCATCCCTACATCCCCTCGTTCCATACTTCCTTTGTCCACTCACTCCTCCCCTCATTCCCCCATTCCCTCCCTCTTCCCCTCCCATCCCACGTGCATGCAGCTATGTAGACACTGCAGAGCTGACGTGTGGGGATGGGGGCAGCTGCGTGGTGCATCAGGTCTCGTGGTCCGCCTTCTGCCACCTCTGCCCCGGCTTCTGCTCCTCTTGCACCGAACCCCCTCTCAGTCAGTTGCTCCTCTCCTTAACCCATGCATTCATGCCTCCAATCCTCCTCCATTCAGTTGCCCGTCCGTCCGTCCCCTCACTTTCTTCCCCCCCTCCCCCTCGCCTCACGGTACTTGTCCTCTCTCCAACGTCCGCCCTCTTCTTCCCCTCGTCCCCCTTCCCTCCTCCGCTCCATCCAGTCCACAAGCCGGACAAGCCATGCAAGAAGAGGAGAAGGGCCTGTCCGCGCAATGCATGCCTCAAGGGCAAGCGCTGCATGCCCTTTGTCCGCAGCTGCAAGGGCTACAAGTGTTTCTGATGCGTCATGCATGTGTCCATATGCTCCCTTCTCTGTACATACAATTGTCTTCTGGGTGTGGTATTATGCGGTACTCGAGTTTGTAGTACAGGCCTTCTGTGTGTCTTACAGCTCTCGTGGGTTTGTGTGACGTACAACTTGTTAGTAATAGTGTGCTTTATGCAGTTTACTGTAGATGATTTGGTTTGTAGTTGTGTGCATGAAAACCACGTTTTGGAGTGTGTGGTTGAGTGGACAATAAATAGCATATATGCTTATCCTTCACTTCACTGTACATAGTCGTGTACATGGTCAGATGAAATTTGTCTTCTGCTACATTGCAGATAATCCCGGTTTACAGAAGTGTGCAAGAAATACCAGGCCAGGTCTTGAAGCCGTGCATTTCCCACCGCAATTTACCAAATGCCTGCCAGTGCAGCACAATCATTCGACACACCCTTGCCCCGGATATCATTCGAATCCCGCATCAGGGCTCAGTTCAGATACCTCCACGATGCGCTGCGCATGGTCCTGGGAGGATGGCAAGGCGGAGGAGGAGGAGAGGTGCATGCCGCTGTGCTGCACGGCAGACATGACGAGCATGTGGTTCAGAATAGACAGCTCTTCATCCAGAGTGCGCCCCTGCTCCTTCAGCCCCTCCATGAACGCTCTGTCCACCTCCTCTGCACTCTCCTGCAACCCCACATCGCCCCCCATACCTCCTCCATCTCCCTTTTGCTTTGCATGTGCTTCTCCTGCTGCCCCTGCCAATCCACCCGTTCCAGCTCCTGCTCCTACTCCACCAGCCCTTGCACCAATGCCGCCTGATAGCTCCAACGCACCATCCTCCTCGTCCTCCTCATGAATAACCCTCGCCTGAACACCACCACCAACACCAGCACCAGCAACAGCACCTACACCCCCATACCCCTGTAGCCCCCCACTGCCATCTCTCGCGCCCTCCCGTGTGCCAAAATACTCACTCTTGAGGGAGGAGAGGGAGGAGATGAGCGAGGCCATGGAGGGGCGCGAGGCCGTGGGCACATGCGTGCATGCCAGGCCCAGCTCTGTCAGCGCCCTTGTCAGCCGCTCCTGCTGCTCTTGACTGAGCGTGCTGGCAAGGGCGTCTGGTGGCTGTGCTTGTAACGAGGGGTCTACCAGTGGTGTGAGGTTGTCGGCAGCTAGGAGAGGGGCGGCCTGACAGGGTTGTGGAAGAAGAGGGGGAAGGGACGATGTGATGAGGTTGGAGAGAAGGGCGTGCAAAGCATAGAATGAACAAGGGCAAGGAGGGGAAAGGAGGGTGCAAACCATTCCGTGCCCATGAGCACAACGGAATCCCACCCCAGCACCACTTCAGTGGCTTTCAATTGGGCTCAAGACTCACCCAGTCCTTGATATTAATGCACTCTGTCCCCAGCAGCACCACTGGGCCCCGCCCCAGCACCACCTCCAGCATCACCACTCCAAAGCTGCCTCGCCGGGAACCGGGGAACAGGACAGGGTGGATGGGCGGGAACAGAGAGGGGGACAGTGGGGGGAGGCAGTGGGAAGAAAGGGGAAAACGGTGGGATGTTAGGAATCCACGGTGGGGAGCGAGAGGAGGGCAGGTGGCGTGGCATAACTTGAATCCGGATGGATTGATGGCGGCAAGAGAAGGAGAGGTGGAGGAAGCGGAGGCTGTGTTGGGGGCCACTGCCATGAGAGCAACAAGGTGGGAGACGGAGATAGGTGTCGCGTGCTGTGGTCTGGGCTGTGCTCTGGTGCTGTCTGCTGTGGTGTAATGGGGTGCGCGCACCTGTATACATCGAGCGATGGGGTGGCCTTGTGTGTCTTGTAGTAAACAGGGTCCACATAGCCCGGTGTGCCCATCACTCGCGTGGACCCCCACCCACCACCACCACCACCACCACTGCCGCTGCTCGTGTTGCCACCGCTGGTGGTGGTAGTGGCGGGGTTGCGCCCCTCCCCCAGGCGGAGAAGACCAAAGTCCGACACCTTGGCCTGTGACACATGCATTCACGGTGGGGCGAGGGGAGGTGGGGGGCGAGGGCGAACGGAGAAGTGGGGAAGTTGTGAGAGGGGAAAAGCGGTGGCGTAGCAGGCAGGCCATAGCAGGCACCAGCAGCAGATATGAGACGTCTGAGTGCAAGAGAAAAGGAACAAGTGCAGGGTGAAGGGAAAAGGCAGAGGAAGGGTGGGTAAAGAAAGAGAAGTCGCGTCACTGCATGCACGCACTCACGTGCTTATTGGCTTCTCAAGTGGGGGCTGATGGGGGGGAGGAAAGGCGCCTGCATGTTGGCTTCTCATGGCATACTCATCACCTCTCGGACTTGCCTGCACGTGTTTGTCGAGCAGGATGTTGGCGGGCTTGATGTCGCGATGCACGATGCCAAAGCTGTGCAGATACTCCAACCCGCGCGCTGCTCCGATCAAAATGTCCAGCCGCTGCTGCAGAGTCAGAGGGGGTTCTGCAAGGGAGGAAAGGGCAAAGAGCAAGGAAAAGAAGATGAGGACACGAATGATTGCTGTGCGGCAGGCAGCAGGTGGCAGGCGGCAGGCACACTTTGAGACTTCTCAAACACGCATTCACTCGTGCAGTGATACGAGATTGCCTGCCGTTGCCATGCATTCACTCGTGAGTAATACCTATCCAGCCGTGCTGCATGTTCACTCGCATATTCATTCACCCACCCACTCAGTCACTCACTCACTCACCCACTCACCCACTCACCCTCTCCCTCTCACTCACCTGTGCGCATTCTCTTAGCGAGGTCGCCCTGCCCCATGAACTCGTACACGAGGATCTGCTGGGGCAGCTGCGAGGCAGCATCCACGTCGTTGCAGGACCCCAGCAGCCGCACCAGGTTGGGATGGTGCTTCGTCGCCATCTGGTCCACCTGCACTGGTCGTGACGTTGTGTTTTTGGTGCGGTCATTGCAGCGAGGGTAGGCGAGGGGTAAGAGCGGAGGAGCAGCACTTCTCAAAAGCGATTTCTCAAAAGAGAATTCTCAAAAGTGATTTCAACATGGCCCGAGCAAAGGGAAGTCCCGCCTGCCCTGATGCCTTGCGCATAAATTGCATTGCGATGATGATCAACGTTGCTGTTCTGCGTGCATATACCATCCCTCCCGCCTCGCTCACCTCTCGCCTGAAGTCAGCACTGATGATCCGAGCGCGCTTCACCGCCCACACCACGCTCGCATTCCCCGGGCACAACCCCCGGTACACGTCGCCAAACGCCCCGCTGCCGATCTTGCAGTCAGGGGACCAGCACTGTGTGGCGGCCTCCAGCTCTCGCAGAGCGAACTGGTGGAAGAGGGGAGGGGCGTCCGTGGACCCGAGGGGCGTCACCGGCTGGTATGGGGCAGCGCTGCTGTTATGCTTGCTGTCGCTGCCGCTGCTGTTTGTCGCCTCCAGGGATGGCTTGGCTGCTACCATTGCTCCTTCTCCTTGCCCTACTGGGTTTTGGAGGGGGGGTCGGAATTGTACGTTGGGACTGGAGGTGCGTTGGGACTGGAGGTGCATAGTGGCAGTGGTGGTGGTTGTGGTGGTGATGGTGGTGGTGCGTGGTGGTTGGGACAGTTGGATGTGTGGCGCCAGGAAGAAATGGCAACAGAGTAGTAGCTTACTAGAGATGCGCGAAAGGGCGGTGCGGAATGAGTGATGCTGTAGACGGAAAGAGCTACTAGAGTTGACCTGAGGCACGAGCTCCGACTTACTGGCAGCAAGAACACAAGCACACACCTACGCACACTGACAGCAGCACGTTCCAGGCTTTGAACTGTGCTGCATCCTTCCACCAACCACTCGGCTCTGCTCATTCTGTTCTTATTCCCTCCCCGTTCCTCCCTCCGCTCCCCTCCCTTCCCCACACCCTCCCTTCCCCCCCCCCCCTCGTGTGCACACAGCATCGCACCTGCAGTTGCGTGTGGGTCCAGAAATGGCTGTGACGAGGCCTGTGACGGGCCTGATGGGGTAGAGTGCAGTCACATAGGGCGCACAAGATGCGGGAAGGGCAAGGCAGGGAGGGAGGTGAGGCTTGGAGAGGGTGATCGAGAAGGCCCAAAGGATAGGACAGTGGGAGTGGGAGTTGTGGTGTTAGCGGGAGCAGGAAGAGGAGTTCGAACGAAGAAAAACAGGGTGGATACGTCAACAGATACTGTGCCTTTGACCAAGAATATACTAAAAAAAAAAACCCATTGAAAGCAAAGAAACTATCAGTGACACACCCACCAGATGGAACATGCTGCTTCTTCTTCTTGCTTCTCCACCAGCAAAACCCAAGCACCAGCAGCACCAGCACCACGCACACCGCTGCTGCCGCTACCCCTGCCACCACTGCCACTGAAACCCCACCACCACTGCTGCTGCTGCTGCTGCTGCTGCTGGTTGGAGGCACGGATGGGGAGGACGGGAGTGGAGAAGGAAGTGGAGGAGGAGTCAAGAAGGGATTGGTCGAGGGCGAGGGTTGGGATGGGAGGGCAGGTGGTGGGAGAGAGATCTCAGGAGGAGGAGAAGTGGTAGGTATAGGGGGAGAGAGAGTGATTCTGGGAGGTGGGGAGGAGGGAGAAGGTGGAGGGGGAGAGGGTGGAAAGACGAGGGGAGGTAAAGCTGCTGGTGGTGCGGGCGGGGAGCGGGGGACACGTGGTGGTGGGAACATGGGCGCAGGGAAAGGGGAGCGGGCTGGGGGAGGGGGGCTTCCTGCAAGGGTGAGTGGGGTTGGGGGGAGAGAGAGAGGCAGGGAGACAGAGGAGATATAATATGTACAATTCTCGAAAGTGACTGAAACTGAGATGCACAGGAAGGGCGAGACAGACTGTTTGAGAGGGAAACGGTGGAGGGAGGATAGCGAAGGGATCTGATAGGATGGCATTGCGTGGGTGGCAACGCATGGGATGTGCACTGTGATCCGGGGACCGGGGCGGCAAGGCAGCACCAAGGGAGGGCAGCACGAGCCGAGGGCAGCACCAGGGGAGGGCAGCACCAGGAGAGGGCAGCACCAGGGGAGGGCGTGCAGGAGGCGCAGAAGTCCGGGCACTCGAGGCAGAAGGCAGACATGGGGTCCTGCTTTAGCTGACAGGATCCCCCTGTGGGACACGTGAGGTTTGACTCGTAGATCGAACTGGTCAGTCAGTGGCACGTGGGGACATGACATGGGGGGAGGCGCAGGGCATGAGAGAAGGCATGGAAGAAGGCATGAGCATGGAAGCAGGATGGCGGTGGCATGGACGAATGGCTTGGCACGGAAGGGGGAAGGGATGGAAGGAGAGGTGCATGTGAGGCAGAGGAAAATCGAGGGAGACAGGACAGGACAGTGCAGGGAGGCAGGCGGGCAGGCGGGCAGGGAGCAGAGCAACAGCAGCAGGGGCCGGGGGGAATGCCTCACAGGGTACCGAGGGGAATGCCTCCGAGCACAGGTGGTACCACACCAGACAGGTGGTTGCCTGATATGACGTCCCTGGGAGGAGCGGTGGGGGGGGAGGGCGGGAGGGAGGGAGGGTTAGAGGGGGCCCAAGAGAAGAATCGAGTCACACAGATTGATATCGTGTCATCGATACATCTTCGCCATATCTTCTCCTGCCCATCATATCCTTCCCGGTGATACCTTCTCTTAACCTCATCTGCGCCCACTCCTCGCACACCGCTCGCATTCCTCACGCCTCTCGTGGTGCACACGCATGCACGGGAGGGAGGGGAGCAAGGAGAGCGAGGAGGCAAGCGCGGCTCACAGCGTGGAGAGTTGGTGCAGGTTGCCTATCTCGGCGGGCAGAGACCCCTTCAGTTGGTTCGACGACAGGTAGCTGTGTGCAGTGACGTGTTGGGAGGTAGCAACACGCGGGGGAGGAGGTGGTGGAGGGGAAGGGAGGGGTGAGGGGGGTGGGGGACAGGTTGGTATGCGCCTGTGAGAGCGATGAGTCCAGGAAGAGATTCCTCAAGAGATTTCAGGAATACGAATGTGAATCCAGGTGAAAGAAACATGAGTAGAGCGGATGAAGGAGGTGAGAGCGAGGGAGGTTAAAAAAAAAAGGTTGGAACAGGGGGTTGGGTGGTTGGTGGTGGGAAGATCACGAGAAAAGGAAAGAGCTGGAGAAAGAGAGAGGGCGCACAGGTCATTGAGCGTGGTGAGATTGCCAATAACCGCAGGAATGCTGCCAGTCATCCTGTTGTAGCGAAAGTTGCTGCAGCGGAAATAGGGTAATAGGGACGAGACGACATGGGAGAGGAATGCAGGCAGACACAAGGAATGAAACGAGGAGGTACTGTAAGGAATGCACTGCGCACGAATGCATGCAGACTTGTAGAAACAAGAAACTTGAGAGACAAATGCTCGGCATACTGCGCACAAGTGCTCATTCATACAGCTCAGTGATTGAGAGAAGGCCGTCAATGGCGGTGGGTATGGAGCCCGAGAGCTGGTTGTAACTCAGGTCGCTGTGGACAGACAGGAGGGGGGAAGGGAGAGGGGGAGGGAGAGGGGGAGGGAGGCACAGGGGGTCTTTGTGTGTCCGATCCGAAGAGATGGGAGAGGAAGAGTCGTGTGAGGAGAGGGAAGCGGGCTGGAGAGGGTACTACACAGAAGAATCAAGAGGGCGGGGAGGGTGAGTGACTGACAGGTGGGGAGCGTGGTGGGTGAAGTGAGTGACTGGTGGGGAGGGTGGTGGGGAGGGTGGTGGGGAGAGTGAGTGACTGACAGGTGCGGAGGGTGGTGGGGAGGGTGGTGGAAAGGGTGGTGGGGAGAGTGAGTGACTGACAGGTGGAGCAGGCGTGTGAGGTGGCTGATGGTGGGCGGGATGGACCCCGTCAATGCGTTGTTGTCTAGATCACTGCAGCGCACACACGCACGCAAGCCATGACGTGTCGGACAATGGGGCAGGGCGGAGGGGATGGGGGATGGAGGGTTAGGGATGCATACGGATGGATATATATGTTCAAGGATGGGAATGGGTGGGTATGGATAGAATGGGGAGGGGGCGGGGGGGGGGGGGGTGAAGGGGGGAGATGCGCAAGCAATGTGGGACGGTGGCGATAAAAGTCGGGAGTAGCGAGACAGAGGCTGGCACGGTGCCATCGGGGTGCGAGGGTGGAGGGGCAGGGAGGCTGACATGTGGGTGAGTCCGATGAGGCTGCCAATGCTGGGCGGGATCGGTCCTGCTATGCCCCCGCTGTTCAACACCCTAACGCATGGCAACGAGGGGAGATAGAGAGATAGGTTGGGGGGACGCAGAGAGAGAGAGAGGGAGAGGGAGAGAGTAAGGAGAAAGGGTGGAATAGGATGGGTGTGGAATGGGATGGGAGAGGAAGGAAGTGGAAGCAAGAAGGTCGCGTGTTGATTGAACTGGGAACGTCCTGTTGCTTTTGAGCCAAACTCAAAGGGCTAAACAGATGAAGGCCACGTGTCATTGCGGTGGGTTGGAGCGTGGAGCGTGAGAGGGGCGGGCGTGAGAGAGGGGAGGGCAGCGGGCAGAGGGCAGCGCGCGCACATCCAGTCGACCATGCCGGCGGCGTCGCACGTGATGTTGAGGGCGATCCCGCAGTCCGTGGGGTCGGACGGGTCTACGAACGCCACGCCCCATGCCGCCGCGCACGCCGCCAGCGGCGCCACTGGGGGAAGCGGAGAGATGGGGAGAATGTGCACCGTAGAGAGGGAGAGACGAAGCGATGGGGGGATGGTGGAGAACGAAGAGAACGGGACAACGGCATGTAATACCAATGTAACAGCACGATTCTTAAGCGAGGAGAGGAGATAACGGTGGAGACGTGGCGGGTATTTGACGGCGGGTTCGGATCGCATGTCACGCCGCGTCATCGCGGCGCATGGGGGCAAACAAGGCACACGTGGCAGCACCTTGTGACTTGTCCAGACGCGGCTCCGCGGCGACGACGGAGATCCCTTGCAGCCATGCAGTGAACGGCGTGCTGCTGCTGCAGCTACTGCTGACGATCCACCCATCTAGCCCGCTGTTTGCGGTTCCGTCGTTGCACAGCAGGAGCAGCAGCCGTAGCAGCAGCAGCGGCAGCGGCAGCGGAACGCGCACGGAAGAACGGCGCGCGGATCTACTACGGCAAAAGCGTCTGGGACTAGCGTGTACTGCTGCGCCTGCCGTCATCTGTGCGGTCTCGCAGAAGCGTAGACTGCTGCTGCTCGTGCTAGTACTAGCAAGTGCACGTCAAATGCGCAGCTCGGAGTCAGAACGTCATGTACGGGAATAGAATTCGTTCACGCAAAACGAGTCCAGTCGACTAATGGGTATATTTACAAGGGGACTTGGCTCGGAGAGTGCTCGGAAAAAAAAAATGTGGGCTTCTCGTGGCTTCTAATGGGTATGGGCCTTTGCAGCACGGTACGGGACAGGAGGACTCCAGTTGACCCGCAATTTTGGGGTGAGCGCAGCTGACGCTGCACACGCGAGATTTCCCTTTCTGGCAACCCCCCTCACTTGATTCGGCGAAAACGAAGACATTCACAAGCATGTCCACACTATTACTATCAGCCCAAGTAAACTTCTATAGCTTCACACTGCATAATATATTTTTAGCATAATCCAGAACCCTTTGGAGCTCCAGCTGCTTCCCTGCTTGGCTGCTGCTGGACTGCTTGTATTGCAAGATTAGCTGGTTGGTTGGGAGATGTTGGCTGATGGGTATGGCATTGCAGCTGCAGATGCAGGCATGGAGGATGTAGCAAAACAGTGCATGTGAAAGGCTTGGAGGCATTGTGGCATCTATGCTCTTGCTGTGCCTGATAGCATGGCTGTGGTGCCAGTGTTCACTTCTTTTGTCACAACAGCAGCGTTGAGCCATATGGTGTGCAGTGCTGCTCTGGCCATTCCTGTGCTGCAGATATTGTGCAGAATATGCGCGCCCCGTGCTTTCTGTCAGTCCGTACCATGTCACCCCCTGTTCTCTCTCCTCACCAGATGCTTGCTACTACCGTACATGCAGCGTGCACGTGCCCTCACCACTGTCAGTTGTGTGTAAAAGGATTTTTGTCTGACTCCTCGCCCCTATCTCTTGCACCCCATCAGCATGCGTGTGCCTCTCATGCCAGCTGCACCCCATCAGCGTCGGGTTGCCATGCCACCAAGGAACAGTACCTGCCACGACTCCCTGTCCTGCGTGGGTGTTCATGCCCAGGCGCTTTCCAGGCTGCCCAGTGCCCAGTGCACACCCCACCCACACACCTATTCCACAATATGCAGGCCCATCCCATCCCAGCACAGCACAGCACACAACGCAGCACACCTAAGAATAAATAAGCTCAGCTAAGCAAACCAAAGCACAGCAAAGCACAGCAGAGGTCCATCTTGAGTTCTTGGCGGTATGGGACCCCGCATGTCCTCTACCTCGCCCTGCACTTCACCATACAAGAGCCACTTATGAGCTGCTCGTGGGGCAGCAACGAGGCATGAAAGAAAGGGGAGGAAAGAGAACAGAGAGACACTTACGAGATGTAAAAGCGCATGGCACCATGGAAGTGAAACCGATCAAAAGACACAAAAGAGTTGTGTACTTTGTTCATGTGAGATTGGCATTGTGAAGCAAGCATTAAGTGCGAAATGTACGGTAGCAAGGCCAGCAACTCCCCTGTGCAGAATCCCCCATCACACCCACCAAGTAGAATTCGCTGCACTGCGGTTGCTGCCCCTGCTTCCCCCGCAGCTGTTGCCACAAACAGCAATGGGACATGGAGAGGGGCGGGAGATGAGGGCACCATATTGAAGGAGATGAGACACAGAAAAGGAGGAGGGGGGAGCAACATCAGGAGAAGGATGACGGGAGACGAGTAAGGCATCAAAGCCAGGACAACAACACAAGGAATAGAAGGAACAGCCAACACTTGGAAGGAACTCGTAAGCATTAGGTTACGATGTAATTACCCCTCCAGTGCTGCAGCTGCAACCACTGCAGCGGCCCTTGATGCTGCAAGCACTGCTGCCACTGCTACTGCTGCTGCCACCGCTGCTGCCCATACTGCTGGTGCTGGACTGTAGGTGATGTGCTGTGCTTCTGGTGATGAAAGAGAGGCGAGCAGAGTGGAGGAGAGGCTAGGAGAGTAGGGGATTGAGAGTTGAGAAGAATGTCATGAACATCTAGCAACACAGCAGCAAAGACACACAGTGTGGATAGTGGAAAGATGGTAGACAACACAGAGATGCAGAAAGGAATGCATGAGAATGGAGAATGGAGAATGGAGAATGGAGAACGGAGAAGTGGTATACGACTCAATCTGCTCCACTCACAACTCCTTGTGTACTTGCCAATCATTTCCCAGTTGCTGCGGCCACTGCCCCCTTGAGGCCGTGAGGCACACACACACACACACACACACACACACACACACACACACACACACACACACACACACACACACACACACACACACACACACACACACACACACACACACACACACGCGGGGAGAGAGACGCCACAGAAGCGGCACGACAAGGCGGGTTAGAAGAAGCAGGAGAGGAGGCGAATGGCAAAGACAAGAACAAGAGGCGACACGACTCTTGCCTCTGCGCGGCGACGCCCTACGACTCTCTTCACGGCCCCCCTGCAAGCACCCCCTGGCACGTACCACGCTCCGTCCGCTGCTCTCCCAATTTTGCGCCACACCTTCACTTCATTCGTCCACGTGCTGCCATTGCTCTCCGTCTTGCAGGCCACGAGGCACACACACACACGGGGGGAGAGACACGGCCACACACGGGGGGAGAGAGAGAGACACACACAGGGAGAGAGAGACACACACACACGTGGGGAGAGAAAGACACACACAGAAGCATCACAACAAAGGAGGGTTAGAAGCAGCAGGTGGCAAGGGATGGACCCGCAAGCAACAGAAACGAATCTTGCCTCTGCGCGGCGACGCCCTACGACTCTCTTCACGGCCCCCCTGCAAGAACCCCCTGACACGTACCACGCTCCGTCCGCTGCTCTCCCAATTTTGCGCCACGCAGTCACTTCATGCGTCCATGTGCTGCCATTGCTCTCCGTCTCGCAGGCCACGAGGCACACACACACACGGGGGGAGAGAGACGGCCACACACGGGGGGAGAGAGAGACACACACACAGGGAGAGAGAGACACACACACACGTGGGGAGAGAAAGACACACACAGAAGCATCGCAACAAAGGAGGGTTAGAAGCAGCAGGTGGCAAGGGATGGACCCGCAAGCAACAGAAACGAATCTTGCCTCTGCGCGGCGACGCCCTACGACTCTCTTCACGGCCCCCCTGCAAGCACCCCCTGGCACGTACCACGCTCCGTCCGCTGCTCTCCCAATTTTGCGCCACGCAGTCACTTCATGCGTCCATGTGCTGCCATTGCTCTCCGTCTCGCAGGCCACGAGGCACACACACGCACACGGGGGGAGAGAGACGGCCACACACGGGGGGAGAGAGAGACACACCCACAGGGAGAGAGAGACACACACACACGTGGGGAGAGAAAGACACACACAGAAGCATCGCAACAAAGGAGGGTTAGAAGCAGCAGGTGGCAAGGGATGGACCAGCAAGCAACAGAACCGAATCTTGCCTCTGCGCGGCGACGCCCTACGACTCTCTTCACGGCCCCCCTGCAAGCACCCCCTGGCACGTACCACGCTCCGTCCGCTGCTCTCCCAATTTTGCGCCACGCAGTCACTTCATGCGTCCATGTGCTGCCATTGCTCTCCGTCTCGCAGGCCACGAGGCACACACACACACGGGGGGAGAGAGACGGCCACACACGGGGGGAGAGAGAGACACACACACAGGGAGAGAGAGAGACACACACACGTGGGGAGAGAAAGACACACACAGAAGCATCGCAATAAAGGAGGGTTAGAAGCAGCAGGTGGCAAGGGATGGACCCGCAAGCAACAGAAACGAATCTTGCCTCTGCGCGGCGACGCCCTACGACTCTCTTCACGGCCCCCCTGCAAGCACCCCCTGGCACGTACCACGCTCCGTCCGCTGCTCTCCCAATTTTGCGCCACGCAGTCACTTCATGCGTCCATGTGCTGCCATTGCTCTCCGTCTCGCAGGCCACGAGGCACACACACACACGGGGGGAGAGAGACGGCCACACACGGGGGGAGAGAGAGAGACACACACAGGGAGAGAGAGAGACACACACACGTGGGGAGAGAAAGACACACACAGAAGCATCGCAACAAAGGAGGGTTAGAAGCAGCAGGTGGCAAGGGATGGACCCGCAAGCAACAGAAACGAATCTTGCCTCTGCGCGGCGACGCCCTACGACTCTCTTCACGGCCCCCCTGCAAGCACCCCCTGGCACGTACCACGCTCCGTCCGCTGCTCTCCCAATTTTGCGCCACGCAGTCACTTCATGCGTCCATGTGCTGACATTGCTCTCCGTCTCGCAGGCCACGAGGCACACACACACACGGGGGGAGAGAGACAGCCACACACGGGGGGATAGAGAGACACACACACAGGGAGAGAGAGACACACACACGTGGGGAGAGAGAGACACACACAGAAGCAGCGCAATAAAGGAGGGTTAGAAGCAGCAGGTGGCAAGTGATGGACCCGCAAGCAACAGAAACGACTCTTGCCTCTGCGCGGCGACGCCCTACGACTCACTTCACTCCCCCCCTGCAAGCACCCCCTGGCACCTACCATGCTCCCTTCGCTGCTCTCCCACTCGTGCGCCACGCCTTCACCTCAGGCGTGGTGCTCCAGGTGGACTGGTTGGTGTGATGGACTCACAGCTCCTTGTGTGCTGGCCTGGCGATCATCCTGGCCATTAAGGGGGGAGCGAGGCGAGAAGATCAGGTTAGCTGCATAGAGTA